TCATTGGTCGACCCGGGGGCCTCCTGCCAGCAGGACATGCCCGAAACACCTCCCCGGGGAGGCGTCCAGGAGGCATCCTGACCAGATGCCCAAACAACCTCAACTGGCTCCTTTCGATCCAGAGGAGCAGCAGTTCTACTCTGGGTCCCTCTGAGTCCCTCCCGAATGTCCGAGCTCCTCACCCTATCTCCAAGGCTGAGCCCTACGGAGGAAACTCATTTTGGCTGCTTGTATCCGCGATCTCGTTCTTTCAGTCATTACCCAAAACTCATGACCATGGGTGAGGATTGGGACGTAGATCGACCGGTAAATCGAGAGTCTGGCTTTCTGGCTCAGCTCCCTCTTCACCACGACGGATCGGCTCAGCATCCGCATAACTGCAGATGCTGAACCAATCCGCCTGTCGATCTCCCGATCCCTCCTACCCTCACTCGTGAACAAGACCCCGAGATACTTAAACTCCTCCACTTGAGGTAGGACCTCTCCCCCGACCCGGAGTTGGCAAGCCACCCTTTTCCGGTCGAGAACCATGGTCTCAGATTTGGAGGTGCTGATCCTCATCCCAGCCGCTTCACACTCGTCCGCGAACCTACCCAGCAAGAGCTGAAGGTCAGAGCTGGATGAAGCTAGGAGGACCACATCATCCGCAAAAAGCAGAGACAAGATTCTCCTGCCACCAAACTCGACACTCCACACCACAGCTGAGCCTAGAAATTCTGTCCATAAAGGTAATGAACAGAACCGGTGACAAAGGACAGCCCTGGCAGAGTCCAACCCTCACCAGGAACAGGTCCAACTTACTACCGGCTATGCGGACCAAACTCACGCTCCTCTGGTAAAGGGACTGAATGGCCCTTAACAGAAAACCACCCACCCCATACTCCTGGAGTGTCCCCCACAGGGTGTCCCTGGGGACACGGTCATAAGCTTTCTCCAAATCCACAAAACACATGTCGATTGGCTGGGCAAGCTCCCATGCCCCCTCCATCACCCTTGCAAGGGTATAGAGCTGGTCCACAGTTCCACGGCCAGGACGAAAACCATATTGCTCCTCCACAATCTGAGATTCAACTATAGATCGGACCCTCCTCTCCAGTACCTTGGAGTAGACCTTTCCAGGGAGGCAGAGGAGTGTGATCCCCCTATAGTTGGAACACACCCTCAGATCACCCTTCTTAAAGATGGAGACCACCACCCTGGTCTGCTACTCCACAGGAACTGCCCCCGATGACCACGCAATGTTGCAGAGATGTGTCAACCATGACAGCCCTACAACATCCATAGCCTTGAGATACCCAGGACGAACTTCATCCGCCCCTGGGGCTCCCCCGCTGTGTAGTTGTTTGACTACCTCAGCAACTTCTGCCCCCGTGATTGGACAGTCCATCCCCAGGTCTCCCGGCTCTGGTTCCTCCTCGGAATGTGCATAGGTGGGATTGAGGAGCTCCTCAAAATATTCCTTCCACCATCCAACTATAGCCTCATTTGACGTCAGCAGCTCCCCATCCCCACTGTAAACAGTGTGAGCGAGTTGCTGCCTTCCTCTCCTGAGGCACCAGACAGTTTGCCAGAACCTCTTTGGATCGATAGTCTTTCTCCATGGCCTCACCAAACTCCTCCCATGCCCAAGATTTTGCCTCGGCAACTGCTACTGCTGCACCCTTCTTGGCTATCCGGTACCTGTCTGCTGCCTCCAGAGACCCACAGACCAGCCACGCCCTGTAGGCCTCCTTCTTCAGCCTGACGGCTCCCCGAACCTCTGGTGTCCACCAGCGGGTACGGGGGTTGCCACCACGACTGGCACCGACCACCTTGCGACCACAGCTAGCAACAGCCGCCTCAACAATTGCGGAGTGGAACAAGGCCCACTCGGAGTCAATGTCCCCCACTGCTCTCGGGACGCGGTCAAAGCTCTGCCGGAGGTGGGAGTTGAAGACAATCTTAACAGGTTCTTCTGCCAGGCATTCCCAGCAGACCCTCATTATGCGTTTGGGTCTGCCAGGTCTGCCAAGTCTGCGGGGTGCATCTTCCCCTGCCATCTGATCCAACTCACCACCAGGTGGTGATCAGTTGACAGCTCCGCTCCTCTCTTCACTCGGGTGTCCAAAACATACGGCCGTAGGTCAGATGATACGATTACAAAGTCTATCATCGACCTGCGACCTAGGTTGCCCTGGTACCAAGTGTACCGATGGGCATCCTTCTGTTCGAACATGGTGTTCGTTATGGCCAAACTGCGGCTTGCACAGAAGTCCAATAATGAAACACCACTCAAGTTCAGATCAGGCGGGCCGTTCCTCCCAATCACACCCCTCCAGGTCAAGCTGTCATTGCCCACGTGAGCATTGAAGTCCCCCAGCAGGACAAAGGAGTCCCCTGATGGAGCACTATCTAGCACTCGTCCCAGGAACTCCAAAAAGGGTGGGTACTCTGAACTGATATTTGGCCCATAAGCACAAACAACAGTCAGGACCCGTTCCCCGACCCGAAGGCGCAGGGAAGCTACCCTCTCGTCCCCCGGGGTAAACCCCAACACACAGACAGAGAGTCTTGGGGCTAACAAAAAGCCAACCCCAGCCCTCCGCCTCTCACCCGGAGCAACTCCAGCAAAGGAGAATGTCCAACCCCTCTCAAGGACTTGGGTTCCAGAGCCATTGTGTCGAGGTGAGTCCGTCTATATATAGCCGGTACCGCTCAACCTCTGCCACAAGCTCTTGCTCCTTCCCCGCCAGCGAGGTGACGTTCCATGTCCCAAAAGCCAATTTTCTTGTCCGGGGATCGGACCGCCAAGGCTCCCGCCTTGGTCTGCCACCCGATCCACATTGCACTATTATTATTATTATTATTATTATTATTATTATTATTATTATTATTATTGAGTTTGTTGTCAGTAGCCAGGAGCAACAACAACGGCGACCTCGCGGATCTTTGACCACAGTGGACCGGCGAATCCCAATAGCCTCCTCTATCCCTTGCCGGCAACCTCTAGTTCAGTTACCCAGCAGGCAGGAGGAGCCTTGTTTTTGGAGTTGCTTAAACATGTTTTTCTTACTAAAAGGGCCCAAAGACCTCCGGTAGCTTCAGTTTAGCCTGTAGCTAATCTTCTGCTGATCTCAGAGGAGCGGAGGATGAGCTAACATAAGCAGTCAGGACGCCTGGCTCCGATCGCAGCAGTCTGAGTTTCTGATTGCACTTTTTGCAGAACGACTCCACAGGCGACCAGCACAACTACAACTTCGCACGAAAACCAGGCAGCTGCATCGGAAGTTTGGCTTTGGGATTAGCTCAATTAGCTATAGCTACATTGGTTCATTTTGGTTCATTTGCTCCCGCCCTCAGCTCCACTTCTTTTGTAATTTTTGGATTGTGACAAGAAGTGACACAACCAAAATGGTGGTGGTAGGAACCACCATTTTTGACCTAAAAATGAAAAATTATAGAAATGGGTGGTCCTATGTCAAGTATCTATGTCTATGTTTATAGCAATGCTATGTTAGCAAATGTTTACGAGACATGAAAAAAAGGTTAATTTGCTTTCCAAATATGCCCATGCAGCTTTAATAGCCCACTGTAGGTTATTTCCTTATGAGCAAAGATCCAATGAAATTATCAATTTTAAAAGAAAACAGCTCACAGAGTAAGATCAAAACAAGAAAGAATGTAGATTTAGTTACTCTTGACTTGTGTAAACATTTCTCTGCTTTTACACAGAAATGTTTTATTTTTTGTTTATTGTTCATGAGTGGAGATCATCGGTGGAGATGCTGAGCTCATCCACTTGTGAATTACACAATAACTGACAAGTATTAAAGAAAAGACTCTTTGAATCACTTGACATTTAAGTGATGCTATTTTTCCATCTTTCGGCACATTTACAAGATTCACAATCAACCAGACCAGGACCTGCACTTAAGTGGTCATCAAAAGAAAAGTATAAACATTTATTTCAGGGATTTGAATTTTCACTTGTTGCATGAATCTGCTTCATTAAAATGTAGGTCCTATGTTCAACTTTGCTCCCGCTGAGCAGCAAAAACTTGCAGCATAAATGATTTTAATTATAATGAATGATATTTAACATGGACATTTGTAGCAGCTCTGGAGGACAGCCACTGACCTGTCTAGCAAAGCTCCTGCTGCTGAGGCCTTCAGTTGTGACATGATGAAAGCTAGAGTCACCCCGGGTGTATTTACGGCGTGCATCCAGGAGGGCGCACACTTTCACAGCATCACACAGGGAGCCAGTGGTGCACTGTGGCAAAATGCTTTAATACCTGCAAAGTTTACAACATGTATGCTGTTGAAGGGATGAACATTAACTTAGAATAACAAAAGGAGCTAAATCTACATGCATTTCAGGATAAAATCATGACGGAGTCACAAACACATTAGTGAAAATGTTTAGGAGCATGTATGTCAAATGCTGCAGATTTTTCCATTTTTGTTAGAATAACTGAATCATATAGCATAAAGACAGATTATGTGAGGTTATTATGAGCATAAAGTTGACTCTTGATTAAAATGAAAATGATATTTTGTCGTATTCTTTCTTACATGAGGTATGTATCCTGCAGGCTGCATCTGACATAAACCCCGCCTCACTCCATTCCATATTATTTATCTGTATTCAAAATTGCAAATTGTTTTTTTTTGTGTGCAATTAATTACTCATAATTTCACGGATCCATAAAATAGGTGTGTTCTTGGGTCTGAGAGCATCAGGAGGCGGGCAGGCCAGCGCAGGTAGAGGCTCTTTTTTTTTTGGGGGGGGGGGGGGGGGGGGGGGGGGTCTGGCTGTGGACGGACACCCCCTAATTGCTAACTGGTGCTGCTGGGTCCCGCGCCTGGAGCTTCTTCCAGGAAAACAGCAGCAGCTGAGGCAGGCTTAACATTTCAAACGTCTGACGGTGCCGCAAAGTTTCCAGCCTGAAACACAAAAGCGGTGCAGCAGCAGGCTGGTGCAGGACGCCACATGTGTCCAGGTTAGTGGGAATGGGGATTAGGCTCCTAATTTCTGGTGATGGAAGCTGATTTATGGTCAGTGAAAGAGCTTTAGAGTATCGGCAACGCATGAAGGAATTTAAATTATACCTTTATTTAGCTACGTCTGCTGTGCGTCATCATGCATTCATTTGTCCGTAAACAACAGAACCCTGCAACCCGGATTAAAGGTGGAACTATTTTGTCACAGATGTCCGTTCAGTTGGAAGGAGGCCCGCAGCTGGAAACTTCTGCAAAAAGTGATGCACTCAAATCGGAAGAAGTGTTTGACGTGACGAGTCCTGACGCACGCAGCTGCCCCGCAGACGGAGAAGAGGCGCAGTCCCCAGTGGGCCACCTGCAGAAAGCACGCAAGATGGCCCGCAGCCCCAAATGTGCTCGCTGTCGGAACCACGGTGTCGTTTCGTGTTTGAAAGGCCACAAACGCTTCTGCCGCTGGAGGGACTGTCAGTGCGCCTGCTGCCTGCTGGTGGTGGAGCGGCAGCGCGTCATGGCGGCGCAGGTCGCGCTCAGGAGGCAGCAGGCTGCGGAGGTGAGGAGAGCGCAAGGACAGGTCAGTGAATCCGCCTGGGAGACAAATCACTCCAGGGTTACTGCGTAAAAGACGCTTAAAGATGCACATGAGAAGGGTGGGGAAAAAAATAAATTAATAGAACCTGCATGCTATTCTTGTAGAGAAAATAATAAATTAGAAGGGATGGATCCCCTAAAACATTCACTGCAGCGTAATTGGTTTATAAATTCACAGAGAAAAACAAACATTAATTAGTGTAGATTTAATGCGCTTTTACTACAGTTAAAGTTTTACTATTTATTTAGTTATAACATTGAGAGTGCTATATATACATACATATATATATATATATATATATATATATATATATATATATATATATATATATATATATATGGGTGTGTGGGTGTGTGTGTATGTGTAAATTAGATACTTATGTATGTGAGAGGGAGTAATAAAAATATCTTTTTAAATGTATGTAGATTCATATCTTCAGATGAAACATCACCACCTTTATCAATTACATTTATTTCTGTTAGTTACATGATGCAGATAGAAGTCAACAAAATATCACATTTTAATTTTCAATAATGTTTACAGAACTGAACTGAAGCTGGTAATAAAGTCAGATAACGCTTTAAAATGAGGGTCATACATTACTTAGTGCATTATTAAGCATTAATAAACAAAGGCTCCCTTTATTAACGTTAATTATTAAATTTCCTCAAGTTTAGGACAAAAGGTGTGTGTGTGTGTGTGGGGGGGGGGGGGTCAGCTTAGTAATGCATAAGTGTTAACATCAATATTAAGCAGTTTTTAGTGCTTTATTTAATAGTTTATTAATGCCTAATAATGCACTAAATAACACTAAAAAAGGGACCCTTTTTGTGAAGTGTTACCCAAAGTACTAAAAAATATATATTTTTATCCCATTATGTTGCTGCTGTGTCATAATTTATGCATTGATTCCCTGTACCACTAGACCGGTGTCTCTGTATTACATGATTATGTCCAAACGTCTGATTCCTGTTCACCTGCTCCTCTCAGGGTAGGAAGGGGGTGAAGTGTGCCGGTCCGCTGAGGAGGACAGCGAGTCCATGTTTCACCAGAGCAGCTGAGCCAAGCATGGCAGCTAAGAGCCTCCCGCAGGGTAACGCTCACCCAGACTTTGTTAGGAGATGCCATTGTGTCGCTGCCTGTAGCTTGTTGCACTGACAGAAACTCCCTACGAGTGTGTGTTCATGTCACTTTAAAGAGAAATCTGTTTGTTGGGGGAACTTCCTGCTGTCCTCAAGCTCATTTAAAAGACAATTCTTTGTTTTTGTAATTGCAGCTGCGTTCAAATGCTCCGCACCTCCAGCACTCCTTTATTAACACATAAAACAACATACTTAATCCGTGTAAACAAACCCAAACCTTGTGACTTCACTGCTTCATAATAACCCGCCTTTATTGTGATTTAGTGTTTTAATACCTGCTAGCTTGCATTCAGCTCCTGCTGGAAGCTTCATGTACCCTCAGCAGAATGGAAGAAGACAAAACAACAAGCCACATAATTAAAATAATAAACAGCGTTCAAACATAAACAAGGCGCTCAATTGGTTGGAACAATTTTATTATCCACAAAATGACTAAAGATTAAGTGTAACACTAGAATGTTTGTGTGTGTGTGTGTGTGTGTGTGTGTGTGTGTGTGTGTGTGTGTGTGTATGTTCAGGGTTAAAACTTTTGATGCCTCCGGAGGACGATGCATCCAGCTGGTCCAAGCAGCCTCAGCATCACAGAACTCATTTTCCGAGTTCTTCCATCAGCGCTCGAATGAGGAAGAGGAGAGCCTTTGCAGACAAGGAGCTGGAGAACGTGCTGCTGGAGCACGAGCTGAGACAGAGAGAGCTGCAGAACGATATTTCCTTTTCCTTCTCTCCTCTAATCCCCATACTGCACCCGTCACCCCTACCCGTCTCCCCTGACCTCCACTGCTGCTCTTCCAACAAGGACCCTTCCCCTGCAGAGACCTCCAGCTGTGTGCCTGTATATAAATACAAGCCTCTTTGTGAGTGTGGCCTCCAGTTTTATGAGCTTTTCCAGCTAAAGAGCAGGTCCTCCACAGGAGGCGACTATAATGACTTCATGTTACGCCACAGCTCAGTGCAGCATGGGGAGGATGAGGAAGTGCACAGTCGCTGGAAAGACTGTGGGAAGAAAGTCCAACCAGAACCTTTACTTCCACCATCACAACAAAGACTGAGAGATGATGCCAACTTCACCTCCGTTGCTGTTCCTGGATCAGATCAGAGTGTTCTGACGGAGCCAGGCTTCGCTGCACACAGCAGGACTTTTGATCCCAGACCTTTTGCAGCTGGAAGCTGGACCGCAGACACTCCATCTGCCCAGGCAGGTCCTCGTCTTCACGCCATGGACAGCCCTCACTGCAGCTCAGTGAGAACTTCAGCTATGAAGCCGTTACCTTTCTCTGTAGAGGCTCTTCTGAGGGCCTGACAGGAAAATGGAAAGTATATTTTATTGCACTTTGAGACTTGAATTAAATGCTATATTATATTACATTTTATTATTCTATTTTTTTTATAAACATGTATTTTACAATTTTGTATAAAAACGTACCGCTAAAAGTTATTTACACACTTATTATATTTTCCTATGTCTACTTTGGCCAAATTGGGAGAAATGCATTTTCTAATGTTTTCTTCTTTGTAACATGATCATGCAAGTAATTAAATCCAGTTTAAATAATGATCATGCATTTGTTCATGTTTCCTGCTATAAAATATAAAATGTAAGGATGTGCACGTGTGTCTCTTTTTTAAAATTTGATTGAATAAAATTTTAAAAGAATTAAATGAGTATGAAGTGAAACAGTTTGCAAAGAATACATCTAACTGCTATGATTGTTGGAGTCAATTTCAGCCTCAAAACGGCAAGAAAGTTGGAATTTTTGGTAGAAATCCCACTGAATTGGTGTTTGCTGCATTTGTGCATCAAAACTACAAGGAAATGAGATTTGTGATAAAAAGTAAAGTATTTTATTACAATTTAGCCCCAAAGTCTCTATTTTTTCACAATTTATCCTAATTTGTTTGTAACTTAGGCATACAATAACTCTTCCTCTCCTTTTTCTTCTACTGGGAATGTCAGATTCTGCTTTTTGTCTCCAGTGAGTCACAATTTAGTTTCATAAATTTCAAACCCTCTCAAAAGTTGTCAAACCTCTTGAAGTTCCTGAGTCATGGAAGCGAAACCAAGACACCTAAGACAGAGTTAGTCCTGCATGTTCTCAAACTTGTTAAAACTTCCAGAAACACGAGTTTGACTTCCTGCAACACATGGGCAACTCATAAACGTTTTGAGACATTTTGGAAAATCTTTTGCAAATTTGCACGATTTAAAGGACTTCAACAGTTGTCTCTGCAGGATCATTAAAAGTATGGACATTTAAAGAGCAAGTCACCCCCTACAAGAAACTTACTTCACTCCCACTTCATGTTTGAAAAATGCAACAAATGCTGTTTCCTAGCAGACCGAGAGGGCGGAGCCGCCAACAAATACACACACACAAGGCTCACAACGACATTGTGACATCATAATGTATCAGCTGACGTGTACCTCTTAGCCAATAGCGGTAGCAGATATAAATTAAAATACAGTGCAGAATTTTTCCCTGACGACGGCACAACACTGACAGTCTTAGGCAGAATATTTAAATGTGAACTAAGTGAACTGAAGTGCCAAATTATTGAATACATGTGTCTACAGCACAACTAGACACTCGTTTATATAGTTTATCAGCAAAAAAAAGTTGATTTGGGGGTGACTTGCTCTTTAACTTATTTATCATCAGGATTTTATGTTTCTCTCCTCCATCAGAAAAGCAGTGAACTTGTTTATAGTCTGTGTTTCTGATTTTAAACCCACTACATGGTACACTGTCTCATATCTTTAGCAGAATAATTTTATCACACCAGCCAACCGAGAATAGAGATGAGCAGGAGTGTAGTGGTGTTGCCTAGGCGACATTGTTCTGACGCCAATCATCTTAGTTTGATTTCTATCCACTTTTTAAACCTTTTCTCTCCTCCAGTTTTTTGTTTTTCTGCTCCGTAATCTCACAGAGATGAAGGTCAGATACTTTTGACAACTCTGGACCTCGTGGCGTCAACACTGAGGCGATAGCACTGTCTTTGTTTGTGAATGTCTACCAGCATATCAAAACGCCTCTCTGCTTCAGACGGCAAAGAAAGGATTGGCACAAAAGGAGGAAAAGGTTGTTTTTTTCAGTATGAAAAACACAGAACGTGTCTCTGTGCTCACTGAACATTATCTCTGTCTCTTTTACAACATTTAAACGTCTAGAAACAGCCTTTTTCACCATGAGGATAAAAATGTCATCTACAAAGATGACATTTTGTGTGAAGAACAACATTAAAGCATGAATCTTAGTTTTTTCTTTTCGGGACTCTGGTAGTTTGTCCTAAAGTTGAAGAGGAAGCAGTCGGCTGTTTCTCCTTCTCTGATGTTACTGAGCGGAGAACCTCTCACACCAGTGGTGTTCTGTTGCTAAATACAAGAGTGCAAAATGAACGGAGCACCCAGGAGGTGCTGCGGGTCGGCCACACGAGCAACCGGATGGTCCAATAGCTTTCGAAATGTGTTATTGGCCGAGGTTTTTAGACAAATGCAGGAGAACCACTTTATAAATATTTTCTTTGTTTTTTACATCCACTATATATTTATGGATATACAGAACATTGTTAACTCGTTCACTGCCGATGACGACTAAAGTCGTCATTTGCATTTTTTTACTGTGTGGGCGTCGGAACGAGCCCCCGCACCGTGAGAACAAACATCTCAGCTCTAAAGCTGATCGTCATCCGCATACGTCACTCGTCACGTGATCAAGATGCAGATAATCCATGTGTTAGGAGATCGTTTTGGGCCGCTGCTGTAAAAAAAGTGATGCGTGAACCGGAAAAGCTACTGCCGATCACAATACGAGAACGGATTATGAAAGAACGGATAATGCTCGAAACACTTGGATTCCTCCTGATGTAGGAGGTGAGTCTCCTCTTTGTTTTGGTGGATTTGGCGTCAACATCATCCTAGCCCGCGACGTTCTGTGACTCTCAAAGAAACAGTTAAAATGGTGAGAAACGCTGGCAGCGAATGGAAAAACTGTTTTAGACAAATTTCTTTCACAAATTTGCCATTGCAGTTTTAGAATACATGTTGGGTCTTTAGGGCCTCACATGGACACGCACCATCATACATCTGTGATCTTCTCAGTCCCTACACCCCCAGCAGGTCCCCGAGGTCCAGTTTCCAAGCTGGGATCACGGAGCCCTTAAAGGATACTTGCTGCTGTCACTTAGACTGACTTTCAGCTATTTTATGCCTATTTACATCTTCTTTTATGAATTTAGTTGTGTGTGTATTCATGTTTTTAGTCATTCTTATTTTTAATTTATGCTGCTTTAAAGTGTTTTAGTCCTCTTTCCTTCTCCCTCAAAAGGCATAGCCTTTTGCCAGGCCACAGTTGTAAAAAAAAAGTCTGTTCTTAATCTGTTTTGCCTGGTTGAATAAAGGTAAAAAGAAAAAAAAGCCTACTGGTTGTGCAGCGCATCAGGCTAAAGACCAAAGGTCACAGATCATTTGCTGCTGTGGCCTCCAGACTCTGGAACTCTCTCCCCCTGAGCCTGAGATCAGTGGACTCAGTGGTCTCCTTTAAAAAGCAGGTGAACACTCACCTGTTCAAGCTGGATTTGTGTGACCTTCATCACCACCTTCTCCTTATTCTGCTCTTTCCACCAATCCCGTCATTCCTAGCATCCACTGATTTCCCTCTTTTCTATTCATTTTCTCTTTCTCTTTCCATACATTTTAATCACATTTTTAACTTTTGTTTTTTCTTATTTTGAACATATTTTTTTAATAATAAAAAAAGTAAATACATTTTTTGGGTTGCTGTGAAGCATCTCATGATTTTTATCTTGACAGGCGCCAAATAAAAGATAATTTGTCTTTCTTTCTGTGAAGTTGAGGCTTGTTTCTGCCACAGGCTGAAAGAATCCAGAACAACTTCTGTTTTTATCTGCAGCTCCTAACCTTCCTGACATTTATTATTTTACATTTCTATTTTTAGCCAGATTAATCTTACGAGTTCATGGTAGAAAAACATAGCTTCTGTTTTCTGCGCAACTCTCATTTCTATTTTCCCATCTCACAAGCTCTATCAGCTGCAGACCAAATAAACAAAGCATTCCTCTATTTTCAATACCCACACATTAGAGTCTGTTCACTTTACCACCACTGGCTTGTTCCTTTTGTTTCATTAAGCAATCAAAGTTCAGCTTTTTTTTTTTGATTGATTGATCAAAAATCCAAATTTTTCTTATTTTCTTGCATCTGCTGGTGTTGAACTCATCATTCAAAGGAGCGTTTCACTGCATTCTGGCCTCAGATCAAGACCTGACAGCTGCAGTCCAACCCCACCACCCGTTTGGTATGATCGGTTGGTGCCCCACCCCCACCCCGGCAGATCATCAGCAACATTTAGTATCAGGGTTCAGTGGAAAGCCTTTGATCGTCCTGCCAGCTCGCCTTATTACAGACTAAAAGTGGACTAAAGAAAATATGTCTTGGTGTGGCAAGGTCGTTCCCCTTGGCACGAGTAAAGGAGGCAATCTGGGTTTAATGATGTTGAGAGTTTGGACAGAAAAGAGACGTTTCTGATGTGATAAAAACAGTTTAAAGGGTTGTTGTAGATGTTTGATGCAGAGGCTTAAAAATGAGACGTTTCCCTCAGAGTTAAGTCAGCAAGAGCAGCTATGAGATTATGGAGCTTCAAAGTTAGGTTCTCAAATGTTTAATAAGTGCTGACATGGCAGAAACCAGAGTTTGCACCAATTTATAGATTTTTGGTTCTTCGACATCTATCATGTGGGATACGGGTGTGATTTTAGTTGGAACAGTAAAATTATTATGATACAGAACTTTGAAATTTTACGCTGGTGCTTGTTTGGATATCTTCATGGGTTGGGCGAGTGCCTGATGCCCTCGGCAGTTTTAAGTGTTTTGGAGAGAAAAATAACTTCGACTCTTGTGAGCTCCAGCATGCCCTCTTATTCAGTCTCAACATACAAACACAATGGTGAGAGGTTTTTCTGTGTGCTTAATTGAAGAAAATTAGAATTAAAATCATGATTGTCACTTTGGGTAAATTAAATTTAATGAGATTTTTCACTATAAATACACTGTAAACACTGAAATAATCGTGTAATGATTTCATGTTGTTCTGCCATGCCTGCCATGTTGTTTTTTCCTGTCTGCCAGTCCTCCTGTTACTAATCAGCTTCACACAGTTCACCTGAGCCCTGCCTGATTGTCTCCCTGCTGCACCTGTGCGCTCCTCTTTTTATGTTGCACCACATTCTTACTCCCAGCGCGTCAAAAACAAACACTTGGTCAGCCACCCTCCGCGTCAGACCCCTGACGCCAAAAGTGCCCTTTTTCGTCACTTATGTGCGAAAAGGGTTTTTTCCCTTTTCTGACTGCAGATCCTAATGCAGCGTAAAACTGACACGATGGGATGTCCGCAGCCAGGGCACCAAACAAGCTCATAACCGTATCCTCGTTATTTAACCTTCCCCTCACCCCTATCCTAACCTTAACCATCTTGCTAGCAAACACGTTAGTGATGTGCCGGTCGTTCTAAAAGCTGGCTCGATGAAGTGAATGGCGGGAGCCGCCTCGTCATTGGTCGGGTTTGGACCGAGCCAACGCGAGGGGGAGGCTTCAGCTACCACGGTGGAGGTTAAAAGTAGAGTGTATGTGTAACCTCCCCCTCGCCAGATGGTATGTTCTAACGTTCCTCTTGGGCGGCAAATACGAAAATTCACAGTCAGAATGCATGGGAAACAAACGCTTGATCACAGTGAGTGTAACGTTTTAGGTAGCCAGAGGGTTACGGTAGGATGAGGGAGAGGGGAAGGTTATA